AAGCTAACTTTAGCGTTAGCTTCATCTTGTCGAGTAACTCCGTGTGAAAGAACAAAACAAAACAAAAACAAGTTAAGGGCTCGACACARGGGGAGCGACAAACTACAGCGATTAACYGCTGTCATCGCAGCCAGGGTGAAACCCGACACARGGGACGCGATAGCGATCGCAGCGTTGCGAATCGCGCTCTCAGGTCGCTTGTCTTCACAAAATTTGATTGGTTCTTGACTCTGAAGGCGGGTGTGCATTACGGACGTGTAAACTAAACAAATCTTGCGATGCTAATGATATTGAAAAACAAACACACATCAAGATACAGTTTTATGAGGAAAAACTTACCATAAACTTCACCCTGGTGCCAATAAATTCCCACAAAGCTTTTTAGTAATCCCTTGGTGAAAGTGTTAGCTAACGGCAGTGTGTAGCATACTCTCCTCTCATTGGTCAGTCAATGAAACCCTCACTGATTGGTTGTACGCTAAGCGACAGCGACAAAAGTTGAACATTTTTAACTTTCATATGTCGCGTCGCAAGCTCGCGTGTGCACGTCTACGTGTACGAGCGCGAAATTTCACATGCACTATTTTCGCCGGTCGCTCAGCTGGAGGAGGGCAAGCGATTGTCGCTTCACCGCACAGGCTCCATAGGAAATGAATGGAGAGCGAGCGARGTCGCCTCCCGTGTGTCGAGCCCTTAGGTCACAACAAATAATTAACACGAAGTTAATCTCATCTGTGTGACGTAACCCGGACATTGAACAAATCAAATGAACTGACGTCAAATCAGCCCAGCCCAGATAGAACCGGAGGGAATGTAAACAAACACAGTTCCAGTACTCATTTGCATGTTTACCCCTCTCAGGTCATGTTTATTGTTTGTTTTTGAGTAAGTATTTTGATTAAAATGTTACAGTGTGTTTAAATATTAGTTTTACATCTCTCTGTTCAGGGTGGACCAAGTGTTTTAATTTTTTTTTCATTCCTTTTTTCCCCCAAATAGCAACCTAACAGATTCCTGTTTTGTTATATTTTATAAATATGTCCAAATTTAATAATGTGTGAGAAATCCACAGTTTTCTGTTTTATTCAGTCAGTGTTTAATACAGCTGGCATAATAAATTTATAAAATTAACAAACTGTACTTTGTTTTTATTTAGTGTGTAAAAACTTTTCCCTTCATGTCATAGCAAAACCCTTGATTCAAGAGAAATGTCAGGTTTTTAGGAAAATGGCCGCTTATCAATTAATCGTTAGTCAATCAGTAAGATCAATCAACTGTAGATTAATCCATTAATCGATAACTTGTATCCCTAATTCAAAACAGACAAAAGTAGCATTTTGGGCATTAACTTAATTAAAGAAAACTTTAAATATTGACATTCTCTAATTGATTTCTATACAAACTTAAATTAGCAACTAAACAAAACATAGAACTCAAGTTTGCAGCATGACTAGATTTTTCTTTATATGCAGAATTTATTTTATAACAATAAGATAATTTAAAGTTGCACCAACAATTTGACTTTTTCTAGAATTGGTGTACTGGCCTGTATAATCCCTTATAGGCAAAAGACTGTGGTCTAACAAGTAAATAAAATCTATATTTACATTTAAATTGAGATAAACCCACATTCTCTTCACTCCTCYCTCTTCTGTCATGACRATCATCTAAACCAGGTGTGGGCATAAAGGCTGGTAAGACTTTGATGGATGACCAAATATAACAGCATGCAGGACATGAATGCATGGTACATAATAACCCTATGATTTATCGCAGTCCAAACAGTCTGTTGTAATAATGATATTGTAAAGACATATTTACAAAAAAAAAAAAAAACTCTTCACCTGAACAAACAAAGCTTGTAATTTTTCCAGTGTCAGTAATCAAGAAAGGCACAAAACAACAAACTCGTATTTTCCCGATTTGTACAAGCCACTCTTATTTTGAAAGTAAGGTGTAACTTGTGTGAAAAGCAACAGAGAATGGAATATACCATTTTTTAAAATGTAAAATATTTTTTAATATCAGGAAGATTTAATTATACTTGGTAACACAGGTAAAATGGACTCATAAAAGTTGGTTCCAGTAAAGCCAAAGCACCCATCAAACACTCTCCCTTTGTTTACCCTCAACCCCCCTYAGAGATGTTCTGGACTTTTAGTCTGGGCTGCTGTGAGGTCAGATTGTTTGACAGAAACGTCAGCTCAGACTTTAAACTAGTGTTTTATTTCTTTCTCTCTGCTGCAGAGGCGGCCACACTGAAACGCTGCATAAACAAGTCTTTGTCTTTCATGGACTCACATGGCAGCACAGCAACACTGATCCCAATTTACAGCTAGTTTTCCACGTGGCCCCAACTACATCCGAGGTAAAAAATAAAATAAAAAATCACATTGGAGGGGGGATACACTAAAGAAGCTGAAGGAAATGAGCAAGAAATCTGAACAAGCCAAGAGAAACACAGCTTCTTTTGCTTTTGTTATCAAGAGTTTAATGARGAAGCCCAAAATCTGGGACCTTATTCTTGTCATAATCTCAAAGTGTGGGTAAAACAGAACTGTGATAAAKGACTTCAACACATTGAAGTGTCTAGAAAAACAGCTGAGACAATAAACAGGATAGAAACAAGCATCCACACTCAGGAAGACGTTTGCTCAGGAAGGACAGGAAGTGTTTCCTGGTACGCTGTGGAGAAACGTCTTCCTGACATTTTCCTGTAATCCCACGAAAAGCTCAACAACCCTAACTTCTGTTAGACACTGAAGCATTGAATGCAGTCAATTAAGAAAAAATAAAACATCTGAGCAGCTCATACATTAAATGCCTGTGTATGTTCATATGAGTCAAATGTTTTAGATTAGGTTAACAGTTTAACTGATTTTTTTTAAAAGGCATGTAAACATCCCAATATATCAAGTGGTCTTTAAAGTGTCACCTCCCTTCATTCAAAACACACCACAGCAAGAGTACTGTACACCAAGAATGTAAGGAATGCCAGGCATCAGGAAAAAAAGGTCCTTGACATAGAAGGGCCCCTGTCAATCTTTTGGACACATGGCTTCGATAAAGATAAGAACCAGAAGACTACGAGCCAAATGTAGAGTTAACCCCAGGACCAAAGACAGATGTCTTTGTTTTACCTGATTAAAAAACTAAAATAGCTAGTACTAAAAATTGGGACTTTTAAAATAGGCAACAATGTGTACGTTTAAAGCAAACTTCAACATCTTTACCAGCATGAATATTGTGAGCCAGCAGCTATCTCGGTGAATACAGTCTGTGTGCAAATATGGCTACTGATGTGAAGGGAAACAAAATCCTTTGTTATGCTTTCAGTTCTTTGCCTGGGAGCCAAGACACCAGAGGTACGCAGAGGGCTGCCAGCAGGTCACACTGATCCTCACGGGGAGGTTTTTCCTCAGATGTACACTAAAGGAAGTCTGGCCAAACAAACGCTGCTGAAGTCTGAGATAAATATTAAAAAATAAAAAAGACCACACTAGACCAGAAGCAGCTTTAAAACCCAGGTTTTGTTTAGGCAGTTGCATCTTTTTCTAAATGATGATTAATGCAAAACAGATTCCAGCCGGGGATCTGGGGCAATTATTTATGATCTGACAAAGTTTTAAGCACTTGTGGTGCAAATGTCTTAAGTTCTTCACATGGTTTGCAGTTTGAAACGACACTGGTTTCTACAAGGCATGACGATCTTAAAAAACTTTTCACTTTAAACGTTAATGATTTCTAAGTAATAATTACCACATATTCACTTTTAGCAGCTTTATGTTTAGATGAGCTCATTTTACTTTGTTCTGCTTGTTACGCTAAAACTGATAAAGAAAGGGGAGCATGGCCAAAAGTATACATTTTTTAAGTTTGTCTTGTTTTATTGTTTTAAACAAGCAAACGTCTTACATTTAACATATTTTGTTGTTTTCAAATTTTGCTGTTATTTAGTCAAACTTATTTTCTTCTCTAACATTCAAATGTCCCACTACTCACTACACAAGCTCAAAGAATGATCAATTCATCTTGATGCTTATGAAATGAATGGTTTTTTWAATTCTATTTTATTATTCATGAAGAAAAGCTTGCTGATTGTGACCAAAACACTGGTTTTCTAAACCTCGAGTGGACTTCTGAAATGATTACTTGCCATTTCTGGATTACTTTACAGTTTCAGGACAAAGTAAACACTTTTTTTGCTATCATCTTATAATTTTCTTTTTTTTTTTTTTTTTTTTTTTTGGCAAAGGTTGCTGAATTGCTGGAACAAGATTTGAAGAATATTTATTAAGTTTTCTAGTTTGTCTCTCAGTTTTTTCTGCTGATAACTGAATGAACTGCGACCATAATAAGCTTAGTTAGATCTAAATTCCAGTTAAAAGTATAATGTGTAGGTCATTTCCTCCATTTGAACATTATATGCAACCATAAATACTACAATAGTGATGCTTAAATACTTGAATGCATTTTAGAGATCAGTTTATCTTCTACACAAAAAGGTTTATTTGCAGTTTAACAGGAGTGCTATCACTTGCATGCTAGTGTAAAATGTTGGCATGATTTAATATACCATAAAAGGCTATGTCACTGGCTTGCTTTTTCCCTCTTTTCGCCTGTGAAATCAATGATCAGTTAGTGCTCTACTATAAACAACGTTTATCATAAATACATGCCTCAAGCTGAGCTTAAACAAAGCAAGAAAGTCAAATTCTAAAACAAAACCTTAATTTTTATGGTTGCCACCACACAATGAAAACCAATGAAATCACTGATTATACATCTAATATTTAAACATTTTTATCGAGATAAAAACCAGAGGTCACGGTTTGAGTTACCTCACACAAACATATGACCAAAAGAGTTATAAAATCGCCCTTTTTTAAAAGTCAAAAAGCGACTTGTTGTGTCCACGGTCGAAGCTTCAACAATTTAAAGTCTCCGCGTTTATCCTTACAAAAACCGCAAAAAGTTCTATCAAATTTTGGTCAACTTACCGCTTTCAGGTAGAAAATAAGCTAACAACTGTCTCCTGAAGGTTTACTCCAAAAACTTTGAGGACTTTTTTTTTCACCGGAGCGTCATGCTCTGGAGCTCACTTTCCCATTGAAATCTAAATTGAAAAGTTTGTCGTTCACTTCAGGACGACGTCGAGCTAACTTGACGCAGCATATACCGGAAGCTGGATCTTCAAAGTAAAAGTCCAATATCCGTTCAGCACAGTAACATCTTTCATCTATTTCCGGTGTCATGACAAATTATACAGTTTTTTTTAGATAAATTTTCAAAACCTATTGCTTAAAACAAGAAAATATAAATTATTTATTATTTATCACAGATTTTTAAAACAACTTCAGGGGGTCACAAGAGAGAGTCTTAATCCTCCTTTATTTCATCGCAAACTGTAGAAAGATACATCTGCCACAGTTGCAACAAATAAACTGATATGAGGCAAGTATTACAATAAGTTTAAATCTAAACAGAGCATGGAGGGGAAATTATAGTGTTTTTTGTTATAAGATGCTTCGTTCTCAGCATTTAAACTTTTATAAATAATTTAGTGTTTTTAAACTTTTCTTAACCTACTCATTTAAGAGAAGTCTCTGCACTCTTGGAGAAATAAAATAAAATCAATAGTGTGCTGTAATCTTCAGGCCCTGAGGCAGAGTTGCATTAAAAGCAGATAAATATGTAAAATAAATTACTGCATGAGCATCTAGACCTATTTTAAACAAACACAATAAAACGGCTTACTTTCAGCATACTTTATATGGTTTAAATTAAATAAAGTTTAGATGAAGTTTATATA